GCTCTGAACTCCAGTTCCGGCTGAGCCTCTGGGGACCCAGACTCATACGGAGAGAAACTGGACTGTCTGGCATCGGGCGGAACTCGAGGGAGGCTTTCTCTCAGAGGTGCTTGCAGCAATTACCGCAGGACACTGAGACTCAGAGCCTCTTAGGGCAGGGCTAAGGATCAGCCATAGCTGTTTGGTCTGCCCTGTTGATTCCCTAAGACCCCCCCACCCACCCAAGCTGTGCCCAGAGGCTTTTGCATATGAATGGCCTGGCCCTTTGCAATCTAAAATTACCTAACAAACTGCAGCTGAGTCAGAGACCCAGAACATCCAAAAGAAGGCCCAAGGCCCCACAGGAGCTTGCATTGCTTTACAGCTGGGCCTCATCTGGGCACCTCCAAACCCCAACAAAAAAGAGGAATCTGCAGATCTCTCTATCGCTCCTGCTGGGTAGCCTCGGGAAGAGGCTAAATTAGGACCTCCTTAGAGATCTAAGAGCCAGTGTACCTAGTGGTCAGGGTGGGACCATCAAGATTACAACTCCTCAGATCCATAAGGGACACACACTCAGGGGGCAGACTCAGTGAGCACTAAAACCCCACTGAAGCAAGTCTTGCCCCATAAGGGTGTCTCCAGCACAGAAGTTTTCCCACTGTAGACACAGCTGATTCTCACAGCCAATTGGCCTGGAGGTCAATTCCTCCCAGTGATACCTACAACAATCAAGGCTTAACTACAAAAAGACTGTGCACAAAGCCCACAAAGGGGGTGCACCAAGAATGTCCACCTCAGGTAACTGGGGAGGCTGAGCCACTGGGCCCTATAGGACACCTAGCACAAAAAGCCACTCTATCAACACAGGGAAGCATAAAAAATGTGGAGACAAAGAAACAGGTCACAAATGACAGAAACGGAGGAAAGCAAACTACTGGATATAGAGTTCAAAACCATGGTTATAAGGTTTTTCAAGAATTTTCTAGAAACCGCTGATAAATTTAGTGAGATGCTCGATAAATCTAGTGAGACCTTCGAGGATATGAAAAAGGACCAACTAGAAATTAAGCATACACTGACTGAAATAAAGACTATTACACAGAGATCTATCAGCAGACTAGAGGATCCTAAGAATCAAGTCAAAGATTTGAAATACGAAGAAGCAAAAAACACCCAACTGGAATAGCAAAAAGAAAAAAGAATCCAGCCCTAACCGGTTTGGCTCAGTGGATAGAGCATCGGCCTGTGGACTGAAGGGTCTCAGGTTTGATTCTGGTCAAGGGCATGTACCTTGGTTGCGGGCACATCCCCAGTAGGAGGTGTGCAGTAGGCACCTGATCGATGTTTCTCTCTCATCAATGTTTCTAACTCTTTATCCCTCTCCCTTCCTCTCTGTAAAAAATCAATAAAATATATTTAAAAAAAAGAATCCAAAAATATAAGATAGTATAAGGAGCCTCTGGGACAACTTCAAGCATACCAACATCTGAATTATGGGGGTGCCAGAAGAAGAGAGAGAGCAAGATATTGAAAACCTATTTGAAGAAATAATGACAGAAAACTTCCCCTACCTGGTGAAAGAAATAGACTTACAAGTCCAGGAAGCACAGAGAACCCCAAACAAAAGGAATCCAAAGAGGACCACACCAAGACACATCATAATTAAAATGCCAAGAGCAAAAGACAAAGAGAGAATCTTAAAAGCAGCAAGAGAAAAATAGTCAGTTACCTACAAGAGAGTACCCATACAACTTTCAGCTGATTTCTCAACAGAAACTATGCAGGCCCGAAGGGAGAGGCAAGAAATATTCAAAGTGATGAATGCCAAGAACCTACAACCAAGATTACTTTATCTAGCAAAGCTATCATTCAGAATTGAAGGTCAGATAAAGAGCTTCACAGATAAGAAAAAGCTAAAGGAGTTCATCACCACCAAACCAGTATTATATGAAATGCTGAAAGGTATCCTTTAAGAAGAGGAAGAAGAAAAAAAAGGTAAAGATAAAAATTATGAACAACAAATACATATCTATCAACAAGTGAATCTAAAAATCAAGTGAATAAAAAATCTGATGAACGGAATAAACTGGCGAGTATAATAGAATCAGGGGCATAGAAAGGGAGTGGACTGACAATTCTAGGGGGGAAAGGAGCATTGGGGGTACGGGAAGAGACTGGACAAAAATCGTACACCTGCCCTGACCGGTTTGGCTCAGTGGATAGAGCGACGGCCTGCGGACTGAAAGGTCCCGGGTTCGATTGCGGTCAGGGGCATGTACCTTGGTTGCAGGCACATCCCCAGTGAGGAGTGTGCAGGAGGCAGCTGATCGATGTTTCTCTCTCATCGATGTTTCTAACTCTTTATCCCTCTCCCTTCCTCTCTGTAAAAATTAATAAATATATTTAAAAAAAAAAGTCATACACCTATGGATGAAGACAGTGGGGGCGCGTAAGGGCAGAGGGTGGGGTGGGAACCGGGTGGAGGGGAGCTATGGGGGGGGGGGAAAGAGGAACAACTGTAATCATCTGAACAATAAAGATTTAATTAAAAAGAAACTGCTACATAACCTCAGAATCTACTTCAAAGGTTTGTGCTTATTTTTTTTAAAAGAGTGTATCCAAAGACAATGCTTTACCTTGTGCAGCTATAGAAGGCCCATTTATTTCATTATGTGGGCATGGATTGACTTTCCATTTAGATCAAATGAGTTTCCTTCTAGTTACACTTTTTTATTTGATTTTTTTTTTTAATAATCAAAAGAAACCTTTAATGTGTTGGCTCCATTAGCACAGAAGAACTTTGTAAACAGTTAAATGAGGCCAATTTTACATCAGTGTCTTCAGATGCTTCAAATAGAAAATCAGAATAAGTTAATTATAATAATGGCTTAATTTTTTTGTTTGATTCTTTATGGAATCAGAGCAAAGCTTTTTGATATTCAATCTTGGAAGATAAAACCTCTGACATTAAAATAAATATCACTATAAAGTCAGTTTACAAATTCCATAATTGAATGTAAATTTTTTGGTTTTGTAGTGATAGCATAAATGCAAATTTGGTGGAACACAACATCTGAGTAAAGATAATTTTCTTAGTTAATTGGGAAATTTAAAGAGAAATGTTCCCATCCAGTGTGGCTCAGTGGTTGAGCATCAACCTATGAACCAGGAGGTCACAGTTTAATTCCTGGTCAGGGCACATGCCTGGGTTGCAGGCTCAAGCCCAGTGCAGGAGGCAGCCAATCAATGATTCTCTCTCATCATTGATGTTTTTATCCCTCTTTTCCCCTCCCTTCCTCTCTGAAATTAATAAAATTATATTTAAAAAAAGAGAAAAATGTGCTTAAAATTGTTTGAGGTATGTATATAATTCACAATTATACCTAAAGAAGCTATGATATTTCATTAATCAAAATAAGAGTTGTATGTTGTGCAAAGTTGAGTATTTTTATATATTCATAGAGAAACTAAACTATAAAATTTTTAAAATTCTTTATTGTTGAAAGTATTACATATGTTCCTCCCCCTCACAGCCCCCCATTGAACTCTCCCAGCCTGCCCCTGCCCCCTTGAATTGCAAAATTTTTACAAGGACACGGATGCTAAATGAAAATATTCTTTAGCATGGTATATGTGTGGTCTGTTTTTTTACACATCAACCAGAATTTTAGAAATATTTGAGCTCTTAAAGAACTATTTTGTATGTCAACTGATGTGTCCTATAATGATCGTGAACTTTTTTTTGATAAATGAGCCATCTAACTTCTGGTTGACTTTTGTTCAAAATAGTTGAAAAAAATTTTAAGTATCTGAAATATGGAATGCCAAAAAACTTTAGTTTTTGAAGATTTAGTATATAGCAAACAAGAAGATATTGAAACTTACCTCTATAAAAGCAAGGGAATAATTTAAAATATAAAATAATGAGAGCTCAAAATGTGTATAAGATTTAAGTTTAAATTATGTAATTGTGCTTTAGAATATCTCAATGTATATTTTGATGAAGCTCCTATTTTTAACTTAGTAAAATTTTCTGCTCTACCAGAATTAAATGAGATCAAGATGTTGTAGCATTTAAATTTAGTAATACATTCAAAAGAATCATAAATAGAAAAAAATGAAGTAGAAAAGACACTACCTATGAAAATATTTGGGTCACAATGTTAGTATATTTCAATAGAAAAGCACTGTAACTGAGAATATCCCCCATTTTGTAAAATTGGCTGTGAGCATAATAGGTACACCTCAGCACCTGTACATATTTTCCCAATTAAAAAAATTACGGTTAAAAGAGAAGGATTAATTAAAGGTGTTAACAAATTCAAATTGACTAACCATAAAATGCAACTTTAAAAAAGATTGTGGATAATTTTGTGAAAGTTAAAAAGGATATTTTAATAAAATATTTTTTACACGAATAAAAATTTATTAGAAAAATACAGAGGCATGTAATGAAGACAGATATGGCTAAAAAACTTATTAAAGTAGTGACTATGTATCCAAAATTATTATTCTGCTTATGTTATCTTTTAATATTTAGGTAATAAAGGAGTTTTTTAGGTTGGCTTAATGTACACAGATGTATTATTTTAAATAGTTTCATTTTAAAGGAGTTTGTAATAGAATTATTTATAGGTCTACCAAAATAATGTTAATTTATTGATCAATAAATAAAAATTTCAAAGAAATATATCTGTAGTAATTCTGGTGCCCCCTTTTTTTCTCAAAAGTAAACCATCTCAGACAATAAATTACGTGGTCACCCTAATTTTAGATGAAGCAACCAGTTTCTTAAAACATTGCCTTTTTACTAATGGTAAACTGGATGGAACCAGGGCAACAATTATTTCATGTTTCTAACAGGTATGTGATAGAGGTGCCCACAGGTATGGAAAGTTAAAACAAAAAGGACGTCAACAAAGAAGGGAAGAAGAGGAAACCATAATTATTTCCTCACACGTAGACACCGAAGTTTCCACAAAGAGATAAAAAACATTACACTCATGTATGGCTCTTACCTGCAAATGCACTAGGAAGATCATTGGAAGTTGGGTTCTGAAACTTGATGAACTTGTCTGACCACCATGTAATTCCCCTTGATAGCATTGGGACTTTGATATATACAGATGAATTAATTTTATATAAAAGAATGATGGTGTCTGTAAAGAAATTAAAAATTGTGATAGAGATGTAAGCAAGTAATTTTGCACCCTCTGATACGCAAAGCTAGACATGACAAATAAACCAGGGTTTTAGCAGACTCTCAACATGACTACATGCTATAGACGCTGGAATTACAATACTATTTCTATATGAAATATCTTGCCAAGGCACCAATGATTGAAAATACTCTTAAGCTCCATTGAACTCATGTCCCTAACCACTTTGAAACTCTAGTAAGAAAGAACTTATTTGCAAATGAAATACAGTAAGTCAGTAGATAATGAATACAAAATTATTTAAAAAAAAACAACCTCACACAAACCTGCCATTCTGCTACAGAGATGATCTTCTGAATGTTTAGTTACACACTTATAAAGGGGCACACCATGGAGAGAGAAAAAAAAATCACCTACCATTGAACATGCTGTTGGCGATAGCTCCACAAGGACAGATGGGGGTTCCATCGTGGGTCTTTTTGAATGAATCACAGCTTTCAACATCCTGGATATAAGATGACACACTTTTGAGAAGTGCTTTTGCTCAACTCCCTTAGAATGTTGAGAGTGAGAACACTGGCAATGTAAACCTTCCTGCCCTGATTTATTGGCACAGACCAAGATTATGGTCTACTCACTGGTTTTTCCCAGGCTTCCAGCTCACTTAGGCTAGAAAAATCTTTGTGTTTTGGAGGGGTGTGTGTGTGTGCGCGCGCGCAGTTTTTTCCCCCTCATTAACAATACATAGTATAGCAAATTTGTCTGTAAGAAGGAACTTTACCTTACTGGCTGTGCTAATTCTCCCCCTAAGTCTACACTGGAATACATTTTAAAACCTGTTTT